CACACATGCACAGGAAAGCAATGCAAGTCAACTCCTTGTATAGCTATCCTTATCTCAACTAGCAAAAACCCTTGGTCCTTCCTATTATTGCTTATACTCTCTCTTCAACAAAATTAGAGATAAGGGCAAAATAGTTTCTGCCTGGTAGCGAGGGGGTAGGAGGATAGAGGGAGGGGGTGGCGGGGTAAAGGAGGGGAAAGGGGGAGAAATGACCCAAACATTGTATGCACATATGAATAAAAGAAAAAAAAAGCCTATGGACTAATGGGTAAAGAAGACAGAACTGTACTGTGGGTGACTGAAAAACCTTTGTAGAAAATGAGGGTTTTTTTTTTGTTCAGCATTTGGGATTGAAGGAACTCCAGTAGTCCTTGAGATCTTCAGAAACTTTCAGTGTTTCAGAAAGCCAGATATACTTTTGTTCATCAGAAGACTAAAGTATTGCCAGGTGCCAGTGGCTCACGCCTATAATCCTAGGTACTCAGGAGGCAGAGATCAGGAGGATCATGGTTCAAAGCCAGCCCACTCAAATAGCTCACAAGACCCTATCTTGAAAAACCCTTCACGAAAAGGGGCTGGTGGAGTGGCTCAGTGTGTAAGCCCTCCGTTCAAACCACAATACCCCCCCCACACACACACAAATTTAAAAAACGGCTGGGCTGGTACCCAGCAAAATAAATAAAAAATAAAGTATTGTATTTCTTTGTTTCTAGCTTGAATTTTCCTAGTTCTCCATATTTCTGATTAGTAGTTAACTATATAGTTAAAAATAGAAAAATTTGGCTGGGCACTCATGCCTGAAATCCTAACTACTTGAGAGGCTGAGATTGGGAGGATCGTGGTTTATGGCTAGCCCAGGCAAATAGTTCATGACATCCCAATTTCCAAAAGAACTAGAGGAAAATGGACCAGAGATGCAGCTCAAGTGGCAGAGCACCTGCTTTGTAAGCATGAAGCCCTCAGTTCAAATCCCAGTCCCACCAACATAATTATTCCATCAATGCACATGCAAAGTCTTGAGGGGCTTTATGGGGGAACATAACAGGCATTTTTTTTTTTTGGTGGTACCAGGGTTTGGACTCAGGGCCTCAAGCTTGCTAGGCAGGCACTTATAACTATTCCACCAACCCCTTTTTGTGCTGGGTGTTTTCTAGACAGGGTCTCATGAACTATTTGCCCGGTCTGGCTCATGGACCTTGTCAATGCTTTCCTTCCTCCCTCCCTCCCTTCCTCCCTCCCTTCCTCCTTCCCTTCCTCCTTCCCTTCCTTCCATCCATCCATCCAATGTATTTGAGGAGTACAACATGGTGGTTTTTGTAAATACATCTTGTGTATTTCAAGCTAATTAACAAAACTATCATGGGACATAGTTACCTTTCGTGTGTGTGGTTAGGATATTTAAGATCTACTCAACACATTTCAGGTATATACTTTAATATAGGTTAACATAACTATAGTTACCATGCTGTACATGAGATCTCTAGAACTTACTGATTGCATAAGTGAATATTTGTAGACTTTGACCATCTCCCCATTTCCTCCCATGCCTTTACAGTTCTTAGATAGTGTTGCAAATATAGTAGATACTTGATTATTCACCTTGATTTAATTTCTTTTTCTTTTTTTTGGGACTGGGGTTTGAACTCAGGGCTTCCTGCTTACAAAGTAGGCACTCTACTGCTTGAACTGAACCTCCAGCCCATTTTGCTCTGGTTATTTATCTTTACTATTCTAGTTTTCTTTTGGTAGTACTTTGAGAACTGGTTACCAAGATTTTTGAAAGATTGATTTATTCTGGTAGAAAAATTTAGCTCAGAGTACTGAGTCTCTTTTTTACCTTACCATGTCTATAAAGTGTAGATTCTCCATATTCAGCAACCTTGATTGTTTGCAGTTACAGGACCACCACATAATCTAGATCATGCCTATCCTAAAGCATCCTATAATTTAGCAATAATAAAGCAGACTGAAAGGTTATATGGAGACATAGGTTATGTGGAGCATAACCTTCTATAATCTGAGAAGGCTTTGAGGCAATTACTTTTAAACTTTATTTTTTTTCCAAAGTAAACACTTTTCTCCTCATAAGTTTATTTGGGTTTTCTTGAAGCTTTGACCGAATATTATGTTAGAAGTCAAAAAGTGACATCTTAGCTTCTATTGTGCCTTATTCAAAAGCTTTAAACCTCTTAAAGGTTTGAATAGATCTGGCACTCATATTTTGAATGTTGCAACTACGTAATAAGTGATGTTTTATTTCTTAAGACTAGTGACTCATACCTGTAATCCTTGCTACTGTGGAGGCAGGGATCAGGAGGATCAAGGTTCCAAGCCAGCAATATGTGGGACCCTATCACAGAAAAACAGCTGGCAGAGTGGCTCAAGCACTAAGAGCACCTGTCTAGCAAGCATGAGGCCCTGAGTTCAAACCCCAGTGCTGCTCCCTGCCCCCCAAAAAGTTAGGGTGGCCAACCTGGTTTGTCTGGTTGTCTCAGGATAAATATTGGTAGTGCCCTCTTTCATGCTTAAAGGTCCCCTTGTTTAAAAGACAGATTATGAAGTCACCCAAATTAAAAGTGCACAGTCTATTTGGGGGAGATTCCATATATCTAAAATACAATAAAGGAAGACAGCTGATGGTATTGTATTGGGCCATCATCTTAGGGAACATTCTTTTGTCTTTATAGTCTGTTGTTAAATTCCCAAGTGTAACTTAAAAATTGAAAATTGTAAGGCCTTAGTCAAGAGATGAAAGTAATCTGGGTTTAGTGACCTGGGCTGGCAGTCCCAGCTAGTAGGGAGACTGAGGTAGAATTACTTGAGCCCAGGAGTGTAATATCAGCCTGGGCAATACAGCAAGACCTTACCTCAAAAACATTTTGTTTATATTATGTAAATTTAAGAGAGAAAGTAAGTCAGAAGCTCTCCTTTATATAAAGTATAGTAGGATTACTAGATATTAAAAGTGACTAGTTTTTTTCCTTTTTTTTTTTTGTGGTACTGGAGTTTGAACTCTGAGCCTTGCACTTGCTAGGCAAGCACTCTACCACTTGAGCCATGACCTTAGATTGGGTCTTGCATTTTTGCCTGGAATAGCATGGAGCATGACCCTCCTACTTGTGCCTCTGGCATAGCTGCGATCTTAGGCACGTACCACCATGTCTGACTTATTTGAGATGGAATCTTGCTAACTTTTCCCCTGGGCTAACCTCAAACTTCAATCTTCCTGATTTCCACCTCCCAAATAGCTGGGATTACAGGCATGAACCACTGAATCAAGCCCATTTTCTGCTTCAATACGGAGGGAGAAGGAGGAAGATCATTTTGAAAAGGATCTGGAATAAACTTGCATAGGGATGAACCTCAAAAAGACAGAAAATATTCACTTGGCTATAATGTAAGTCTAAATACACCTGAGCTAATTAGTAAACTGAAAAAAAACCCCAATGTCATTATTTTAAAAGGATTAGTGTGGAAATAAAGAATTACAGCTTTATTTGGGAGGTTGAGATTGGGAAGACTGAGGTTCGAAGCCAGTCTGGGCAAATAGTTCATGAGATCTCATCTCCCAAATAACCAGAGCAAAATGGACTGAAGGTGTGGTTCAAGTGGTAGAGCACCTGCTTTGCAAGTGTGAAGCCCTGAGTTCAAATCTCAGTCCCACCAAAAAAAAGTTATGGTTTAAGAGAAACTGATTTTGGCCTGTCATAATTGGGTCTTGGTTCAGTTTAAGTACCAAGTAAGCTATGTGTGGTAGATCATCCCTATAATCTTAGTACTCAGGAGGGTGGTGTAGGAGGTTCTCCAGTTCAAGGCCAGTCTGGGCTACATGTCAAGTTTGAGGCTACATAGGGAGACCCTGTCTCAAAAAAAGGCATGGTGGCCCATGCCTGTAATCCTAGCTACTTAGGAAGCTCACAGTTTGAGGCAAGACTGGACAAAAGGTTCACTAGACCCCATCTCAACCAATAGAAGTGTGGTGGTGCACACCTGTCATCATGGGAAGCATAGGAGGGTTGTATTCCAGGCTGGTCTAGGCATAAACGTGAGATCTTATTAAAAAATTCCTGAAGCCAAGACAGGCTGGAGACATGGCTCAAGTTGTAGAGAGCCTGCCTAGCAAGCACAAGGCCCTGCATCCAAAGCCCAATGCTGGAGGAAATTTAAAAAACAAGACAAACAAAAAACAAACAAGTACCAACTATTTGAATAGCTACGAGATGGGTAGCACCAGGCTAGTTGTGTAGGAATACAAAGCAACACGATTCCTGACTTCTCTTATGAAGATTTGTGGTATGGCTGAGGTTGGGGAAAATTGTATTTAACTGCTGTGCAAGAAGTCACTAAAGAAGATGGGAAGGGTTTTAGTGAGGAATAAGTTGAACTTGAACTAGAGGTGTGGCTCAAGTAGTAGAGCTTGCTTTGCAGGCTTAAAACCCCGAGTTCAAACCCCATCACACACAAAAAAAAAAGGGACTTTAAAAAGCTAGAACAGGGATTTGAATGTAGGGCAAAGTGTGACATTTGAAAATGAACAGTGACAAAGGATAGATGTATGAAGATGAGAGTAAATTGACTTTGCAGCGTTAGGAAGGTAGATTTGGAGTCAAGTTCCAAATTCAACTTATTGTTAAAACTATGCCCATTAAGCATGGAAGATTTGTACAGGGAATTCACTGAAGGTTGATCTGATGGTTATAGTGAGAAAAAATTGGGGTTGAAGAAACTAATTATGTAATAGCACTCTCACCCACCGACTGTATTTCTCCTAATAATGGAAATATATTGTCAAATAAGTTCTCTAATATTTTGGTTGACAAATGAGAATATGAGAACAAGAAACCAAATGAAGTTTGACATAGGAAAATATTCTTTATTTAAGTAAAAACATGTTAAGATGTCAGTGACAAGAATTGTCACTTCAATTTTGACAGTTAATTTCTCAAAAGTTTAAAAAAGACTTAAATCTTCTGCTAGCTCTTTAATCCACAACTTCTCCATCAGCACTTCCAACCTGTGGAGAGAAAGATTGAGGTAGTGTCATTTTGACAGCATTTTTATGGAAGACGAGTTTGAGGTGCGTTAGATTTTTCAAACATAGTCTGATAGTCTTTTCTCCAAAGTCTGATTTGAAACCATTAGAACTTTCCCTGTATTCTATTTAGGGTAGAAGAAGCACATAGGAGACACAAAAAGAAAAGTTCGGGTGGGCACAGTAGCTCACATCTGTAATACCAGCTACCCAGTAAGCACAGATTAGGAGGATGGAGGTTCGAGGCTAGCCCCGGTCAAAAGTCAGCGAGACCCCATATCTCAATCAATAAGCTGGGCATGGTGGCTTCCATCTGTGGTCCTTGTTACTTAGAAGATTGTAGGTAGAAGAATTGAAGCCTGAGGCTGACTCTGGGCAAAAATGTGAGACTTTTACCTGAAAAATAACTAAAGCAAAAAAGGGCTGAGGGCATTGCTGCAGTCATAGAGCATCTTCTCAGTAAGTGTAAGGCCCTGAGTTCATTCAAACTAGTACTGGGAAAAAAAAAAAAAAGCTTGTCTAAGAATCTTTGAAGTTTAGAATACGGCATTAATAATATTAGTCAAAACTATGATATAAGTTTAAAAAAAGGTTATTTTACCTTTTCTCTGGGACTTATAGTTGTTAGGATGCTTATCAACTGTAGCCTCTTTTAGGTCTCTTGAGTCACTGTGGGAGAAGATCATAATGAAAATTATTTGGAAACCAGGAGTGTAGATTTAGTCTAGATAACCAGTTAAAGTTACTTTATCAAACATAATTGATATTACTAAGTGTTAGAGTAGGAATCATTTGAATTGTTGCAAACTTCTATTTAGTGTAGTTCTTTTATGCCTTCCCTTCTTCCTAGGTGGTTGGTTAATCCATTGATGGCTCCAATAACTCTTGGAGGTGCCTTTTGATTTTGTTTGGTTGGGATCCTGTCATGGTTTATATATAGTTGTTTACACTTTCCCCTTCAAGATGAGAAATTGGTCTTTTATTCTCTTGAATAACTTTACACAGAATTTAGAATGTTGACTATACAAGTCCTTGATGGAATACAGTTCTAGTGGAGCCATTGAGAAGGAAAGAAAAATACTCAAAGCCCATCAACACAGACCTTTTAAATTAGTAGTTGAAACTCAGGCATCTGCCATGATTATGGCCTAATGGTCATCTCATTTTAGGAGTTCAGCTTTATGCTTTGTGAGCCAAGCAAGAAAACCTGAGTTCAAACCCCAGTACCCCCATCCATAAAAAGTTCAACTTTAAAGGTATTCTACTCTCTAGTATGATAATGAAAATGTTTATCTTACCTTTCACAAACCAGAATTTTGGGAGCAAAAGTCTGAAGAACAAATGATGGGAAGTGATGCACATTATCTAAAAAAGTAGGAAAAGAGAAAGAACATAAGTAATAAGCATCTTTATATTGTTCCCAAGAAGTCTAGTTGGTAGCAGGGCTTTCAGTCTCCCCTCCATAGTCATTGCTGGAAGTGACTGCTTTGCCAGGGACTACATACGCTCCTCTCTTACATTTCAGTACAATCATATGACTAGTTTTGTCAATGGAACATGAACTAAAATATTTTCTGTGCTGAAAAGGCAGTTGCAACTTCATTCTCCTTTTGTGGCAGCTTTGGAAGCCAAATGTGGAAGGTGAGAACTACAAGATGAAAAGAACCCATGTCCTCAAATCACTACCATCACTGACTTGTACTGGGATTTACACAAGAAAACTTCTGGTGTGTTAGGCACGGTATTAACATGATTGAGTTTGTATGTTATAAAAGCTAGCATTATTCCAACACATTTTTATTTTTATCTTTTTTTAAAGATTTTTTTTGCAGTGCTGGAGGATAGAACCTTGGGTTTCCAATACGGTAGGCCATCATTCTACCCTAATCTGGCATATTTACTATTGATGTTGATTGAGAGGTGGCTTTTTGTAAATAAAGATGATTTTTTTTTTGCGGTACTGGGATTTGAACTCAGGGCCTCATGCTCAGTAGGCAGGTACTCTACCACTCCACCAGTCCTTTTTTGTATTGGGTATTTTTGAGGTAGGGTCTCTCAAATTATTTGCCTGGACTGGCTTTGAACCACAACCCTCCTGATTTCTGCCTCTTGAATTACAGGTGTGATCCACTAGTGCCCAGCTGAGGATGATATATTTGAGAACGTCCCTTAAGGTTCTCAGACAGCTGAACCTAGACCAGATTGAAAGCCAGTGCATCTTAAAGACAGGATATCACTTGAGATAAGATAAATCCCAACCTTTCATATTACAAGTTTCAGTTTATGTCAGTGATGTTTTCTGTAGAAAGGAAACCAATATCTTATCCAGATATTGGTAGGATAAGAATGTTTTAATTGTTTTGAGTGAAGTTAGAGTTTAGTTAGACTTTTTGCTGGACTGCCTCTCCAGACAAAGGGGAAATTCTTAGATTTATTAGTTAGATTGTTTTAGCAGGAAGAGTATAAAAACTCCTGATTATTCAGCATTTTACTTGCTACTTATTAGCTATAAAGGGCTTAGGGTCTGACCTTCATTCATGATGTTCTCTGTATCATCCTTGCTTACCTACATTCCATATGTCAGGGTCAGGAATCTGATTGGCAGCATCAGGAAGTTTCTCATCTGATTCCAAACTTGGGCAAGTAAACTTTGGAAGATTAAGTGGCTCTGAAATAAAGTAGACCAGAGGTTATAGAAGTAGAGCATAAACTTCCTTTCATTTTTTATTCCTCATATTTAGTTAAGGCTTCCATAGCTATGAAATATGGGGACGTAGGAAGCCATAGAACCTGATGCCACTTACCTGCCCCCCAAGTGAAAAACTTACCCTCATCTACAGCAGTTTTATTGATGCAATTAGCCTCATGTTCCTGGAGCCTTTTGATTGGGACCACATGACAAGCATTGTATTTGCAGTTAGCCATCTTTTTAGCTATCTTTGGATTTTTCTAGAAGAAAAAAGTTCTTGTGAGATTTGCCTGTATTCCACCCTCCGCTCATCTCCAGAAATGCTAGAGATAGTTATGTTCCAATAGTAAGAACTGCTGCTGTGTGCCTGTGGCTCCTAGATACTCAGGAGGCAGAGATCAGGAGGATCAAGGTTCAAAGCCAACCTGGGCAAATAGTTTGTGAGACCCTATCTTGAAAAACCCATCACAAAAAAGGGCTGGCAGAGTGGCTCAAGGTGTAGGTCCCGAGTTCAAGCCCCAGTACCATAAAAAGAACCAAAAAAAAAAAAAACCCCAAAACTTGTATGTGCTACATATGGTCAGAAGCTTTAAAAAATTTTACATGCTGAAAAAAATTTCCCTTATAGTGATTTACAGTTCTTATCAAGAAAATTTACCTTTCTGCATGATGCCAGGTGGTACTGTAGCCTGCTGGCTGGCATTCTGTGGTTTGGGTCATAAGGACATATTTCCAAGGCTTCTGGCTCCATGAGTCCTAAATGGCAAGAGTTACAGGTTGGCAAAGAAAAGACTGACATTTAAGATCAGGTTGTCTTGGCATAAGCCTATTTTCTATTCTCAACAGGAAAGTAGTGTGAAAGATACAGGTATCTTAAGTCTTGAAAATTTGAATTACTAAAGCAATAGCCTACATAGCCAGTTAGACAATAGGGGAGGTTTACTGCTTCCATGATTTGGAATATCAAAAGTTAACGTTTGTACATAGTCTTCTAGGTTGTAGAGTGTTGGCTCTCGAATTGAGAGTTTTCCTCAGAAAACTCAGACTTGGGATATGAAGTTTAACACAATAAGCTTACATGCTGGAGAAAGCAAGGATGGAGCAACTGGTTCCTTTACAGTTTAGCATTCCCTCCCTTCTCCATCTTACCCAAATTAAGGTCTTCATTGTTAAATAGGCCAGCATAGCCACTTTTGGGAGAGGAAATTAGAAGAATGAACAGTACAATGTTTCAGTTCAGGCTACTTTATAATTACCTGAGAATGCCAGTCTGAAAACTTTCAAGTTATAGATGCTAACATATGAAGCCTCCTTAAAAAAAAAAAAAAAAAAATCAGCTAAAAATGTTATCTCAAATCTGCTACATTTTACTGCCAATAGGAGGCTCACTTTCCCCTATGCTTGCTGTCTTTAGCTATCCTTATAGACATTCATTTGAAGAACTTCCAAGTTTCCAAACAGCTACTGCTGAGATTTCTGCAAAGCAGGGACTTCTAGTTTGATAAGGGGAGAAAAAAAAAAAAAGGTCAGGGAAGTCTGACATAAGCAGTAGGAACAGAAAAATACCCTAGAATAGCCCACTTCGATTCTGCTTTGCACCAGGCCTAGGGCCTAGACAAAGGGCACAGAGTTAGGCTGTTAAATGTCAGATTTTCCTGAGGGCATTTTGGTGATTAATCTGGGGATTTAGATTCAGGTAGCTTTCAGGAACACAAGCCAGGGTGGTTCTTTCAAGCTTTTGCTGCATATTAATATTATGTTAAAGCCATGAACAGTTATTATAAAGTAAATTGGCTTTCTGGAAAATAAAGGCTGCAGTATAGTCTAATATTGGACAGTTATCTTTATATTCTTACAGATATGAAAAAGGTGATTTAATGCCCAAATAATACACTCAGACATCCCCAAATCCTTATTTTAGCCAGGGCGTAGAAAAGTATGAATTTTAACCAGACTAATAAGGCTGATGTTAATAAAAAAAGGCTGTTCAGGATGGTAACAATTTTTTTGACGATTTAAAATCAGGGCTTCACTTTTACAAAGCAGGTGCTCTACTGCTTGAGCCATACCTCCAGTCCATTTTGCTCTGTTATTTTGGAGATGGGGTCTCAAGAATTAATTACCTAGACTGGCCTCAAACCTTGATTCTCCCAATCTCGGCCTCCAAGCAGCTAGGATAACAGGCGTGAGCCACTGGTGCCTGGTGGCAATGACAATTGGTGATGTTGGATTGTTTACTTAAATATTGATAGTTAATATCTCACGTAGGGAGGCCAAAAGTATGGTGGGAGCTATTTCAGAGTTGGTAAGAGTACTCCTACCTTGAGGCTACCTTGATGCTTAAACCTAGCCTAAAGGATCTCAATATCTACCTTATTCTAGGAGCAGTGACTCCCAAGACTCTTAAGGGAAGGGTCACTGGGAGAGGAAGCCACATAAGGCAAACAGTTGAAGTTTGAGGAAAGAAAGCATGTTACCTTTCAATCAATGAAGGGAGTTAACTTGCTCTTCCAGCTTTCTGCTCAGTTCCTCTCCTCCCACCACAGGTTCTATGGTTTCTCAGAGGTTTGGAAGGTTTTGATGTCATAGTGAAGTCTGGTTGTGCATGAGAATCACTGGGAAGTTTTTAAAGTGACAGATCCTTTGGTGTCACTCCAGAACTATTGGCTTAGAATTTCAACAGTGGAGTACAGCTGAGTGTGGCTTTAAGAGTTCCTCAGGGTATTCTAGTTCATAGCCAGGGCTACTAGACCTTGCTCTGCAGTAATGAAATACCTTTAGAAGGGCTCCTGTGGTTCACAGGAGAAACTGCTGTTTATTATTTCCACTAAAGTCTCTAAAGACTACCTGTTACCATTCTTCCATCTTTAAACTGGTCCTTTTCTTCATGGGTTCCAAGTAAAATTCCACAGAAAATGACATAACATATTAAAAAATGAAAATGTTGGCAGGGTGCCAGTGGCTCACGCTTGTAATCCTAGCTAACTTGAGAGGCAGAGATCAGGAGGATCAAGATTCAAGGCCTGCTGGGCAGATAGTTTGAGAGACCCTATTTTGAAAATATTCCTGACACAAAAAGGGCTAGTGATGTAGCTCAGGTGGTAGAGCTCTTGTGTAGCAAGCATGAGGCCCTGAGTTCTAGCCCCAATGCTGCCAAAATTAAAAAAAAAAAAAATTTTGTTGTTGGCATTCCTAATCCAATGTACCAGACCTTGAGCCAAACACTTATATATTCCAAATTGTTTAATTACTTCCACAGTTATGGAAGAGATCATTGCTTTATAGATTAAGAAACCAACTCAGCGATGATAGCCTAAAGTTACAAAGCTAGTATGTGTTTGAATAGCATTAGTAATACTGCTTGAGGACATGTAAAGCATCAAAAGGAGGTGGTATGGGGATGTAGCCCAGTGGTAAAGCACTTGCCTAGCATATGCAAGGCCCTGGGCTCCACCCCCAGCAACACATACACACAAGGTACCAGATACATAGTAAATAACTAGGAAATCACTTTTACATATATTAATTTAAGACACAATAGCTCCAAAAGATAGAAGTTATTATCAATATTACCTCCATTTTACAGGCAGGGAAACTGGTTAGCTGGTAAGTGATTGAGTTGGGATATGAACTCAAGCTACCTGGCTCTAGAACCTGGGCTCTTTACCCACTAAGTCGTGAAGCTCAGTCTGTGATACTCAACTACATTAGCGCCTGATTCTGACTGATACCGAAGTGTAGGCTTTTCCAGGATACCATGCACAGGAGAATAGTTGTTTTCAGGCTCTAGCAATCTTTTCCTTCAGCTGGGGAGAGAGTATAATATGATAATGGACAACTAAAGGCAGAACCTGATGTATGTGTAAAGTATGGAATAGACCATATGCTGTAGGAGTTCAGCAAGGGCTAGTCTTGGGACTGTTGAGCTAAATCCTGAAGACTGAATAGTTTGGGTCAGCAATAGGGAGAGCCAAAAGAATGATACTCACCCTGAGAAGCTTGGTGCAATAGTAATGCTGAGGATCCTAGAGGTGGTCCTCTTACAGTCTGCTATTTATCCTTCCCCATCAAGGTAAAAGACCAATAAAAATCCCACAGCTCTCTGTAATAGAACCAGAGGTTCTTTGATAATAGCAGGTGATTCAAATCTTTAAGGCCGATACTAATTATTCTAGGCCCATAGGGACACAATTCAGTAAATTGGAAAACAAATTCTCTTCTCTAAAAATCTAAAGTCTCCCTTAGAGATGCTTGAAATTTTACATCTTAAGCATTACTATTTGGCTGTTTCTTAAAAAAAGAAAATACATTCTCTTGGGCACAAACATGTTAAATTCCTTAAATAATAATGCTAATCAGTCCTCTCTTCCTCTACCTCTCCTACCAGCACTTATTGGGACAATTTGAGATCTCTGGATATGGAAAATGAAATAATTGAAAAGCAGAGAAAATGTATTGGAAAGGAGGAGGATGCAAAGACAGCTTAGATTTATTTTTGTGCCTTGAAAGAAACTTGAAATGAGCTGAAATTGTCTTGGGTTAGGGTTTGAGGCTTGGTTGGAATGGAAAGAGTATCTTTGTCTAAAATTTAGTCTTCTAAGACTTAAACACCATTATTAATTTCCTCTTTTAATCTTGATGAATTTGGTTCATCATGGGGCTTATTTCTCAATTTAGTCTTAATAATTCCATAAATCATTATAACTAGCATATTTATGGAGTGGTTACTATGTCCAGAGGTGCATCTCAATATGTATCTCCTGTAACATCTGCACCAAAACCTCAGGGTACTAGTAAGTACAGATTTCTAGGTCCTGTCATGATCTACCAATCCAAATCTCAGAGGACAGGGATTGATCTTAGTTTCCTTAGCCCCTTTAAATACCATTGTACTACAGCAATAGTTATCAAACTTGAGGGTAAATTGGAATCACCTGGTCCTGGACCCACCCTAGAGTTTTGGGTGTAGTAAGTCTGGAATGGGGCCAGAGAACTTAAATGTCTAACAAGTTTCCAGGTGATATTGATGCTGCTGGATCTCATTTGGAGAATTACTGTACTAGGAGCTTTGTGATGGATATAAAGAGTATTTGGTACAATTCCTGTCATCAAAGAGCATATGATACAGTTGGGAGAGAGAAGACAAAAAATATTATGTTACAGTAAAATGTAACATAATATTTGCATTGGGTGAGGTAGTGGGAGAGATATGTCTTGAGCTGGGTCTTAAAAGACAAAGGAGACTAAGGTTCAATAGCATTCTTTTTGTGTTGGGGAGGGGGTTTGAACTCAGGGCTTACATGCTTGCAAAGCAGGTACTCTACTGCTATATCCACAAGTCCAGTCCATTTTGCTGTGGTTATTTTGGAGGTAGGGGGATCTCACAAACTATTTGCCCTGGCTGGTCTCAAACCAAGATCCTTCTCATTTCAGCCTAGGATTTCAGTAGCTAGGATTATAGGCATGAGCCATTGGCATTCGGCTAACTGAGGCATTCTTTCTTTTCTTTCTTTCTTTTTTTTTTTTTTGTGGCACTGGCGCTTGAACTCAGGGCCACAAGCTTGCTAGGCAGGTGCTCTTACTGGTTGAGTCACACCCCCAGCCCTTTCTTGTGATGAGTATTTTTGAAATAGGTTCTCATGAACTATTTGCCCAGGGCTAGCTTTGAACCGTGATCCTCCTGATCTCTGCCTCCTGAGTAGCTAGGATTATAGGCATGAGCCACTGGCACCTGGCTTAGCCAAGGCATTCTTGATGGGGATATAAAAGAGAGAGATCTGGTGTATGGGGCTAGGGTGGTAGATACTTGTTTATCTGTAGGGATTTATCTAGGACACTTGTGGAGGGGCAAGACCAAAAAGGTTGGTACTACACTGTAAGGAACCTTGAAAGCCCATCCCCTTCCTCAGCTTCCACTCACTTCCTAGCCTTACCAAAAGTGCTGCACAGCCAGAAAGAGGAAGTCTCCTCTGCTGAGTGTGCAAGAGGAAGCACAAGAAGACGCTACGGGCCCGCGAGCCATAACGACTGCTTTCACCCATGAGCCAATTGCAGAGGCAACAGGAAGCCCGTGCACCAACCAGGCTGGGTTGCTCCACGCAGAGGGTGTCACCACCCAAGCTCAGAGCATTTGGGGAGATTAGGCCTTGCTGTCCGGCTGCTCCTTTTTCTTGGTTGCCATCATGTCTTTGACCTCAGCCTACCAGCATAAATTAGCAGAGAAACTCACTATCCTGAACGACCGAGGCCAGGGGGTTCTCATCCGTATGTACAACATCAAGAAGGTAGGCACGAGCAATGGAATCGGTCTAATCATTCCAGTGAGAATAGGGCAGGAGCTTTGAGTAGACCGGTGCAGAAGTTAGACTCTCCCTTTTCTTTTCTATTGCTTTAACTGGCCAGATAATGTAGGCCAGACAGTTCTGGGAGGGAGAAGAGAGGCTTCTTTTCAGGGCTTCCCCATTCTAGGTATGATTCTTACCCTAGTGAGAGCCTCTGCTCCCTATTGGGGCCTGTGGGTAGTGGTGGCCATGGTGGGGAGAATAATTCTGTTCTGAGAGATTTGGATGAGGATCTGGGGTCTATAATTCTGGGTGTTATTATTGATTGCTGCTCCTCATACTCTGAGGAAATCTGATGTTGAGTCTCTGGCAAAACCTTTTTTTTCCTTCTTTTTTTCCTATCATTGTATTCCCCAATTCAATCTGGGCTGCTATGGAGACAGACAGAAAGTGCAGGAATTACTTTCTTTTGCATCCTAGTGTCTGGCAAAAACATTTTTGTAGAAGCACTTCCCTAAAAGGAAAACAAATACTTACATTAAAAAATAGTAATTGCCTCCTAAGGTACTTTGGGACAATTTATGCTCTGTTTGTGTGCATGTGTGCTTAGGATAGGAACTGTGAAACTGAGACAAATTGGTGGGTGAGGTGGGCCAGGGGCTGGCTAAACCATTGGAAGTAGAAATGAAGATGGGACAGTTGAGGAAAGTTACTGGAAGTGAAAATAAGGGACTCATGGGAGGGAACGTTTGTGCATTTTGTAATAAAACAAATCACCAGGAACACAGTTTCCCTGTTCCCATGTCTCCTATAAATGCACTTGGGGTAGGACATTTATATAATGGACATAACTGTGACACCAAGTCACCCACAAAATCTTAACTCCCCAGCAAGCTGCTTTTCTCACTACTTCCGGCTTCAGTTGAAGGGCGGGGAAACAGCTTCCTCTTTGTGCTGGGCTCTACAGATGTTAAGTTTTACCCATCAAGACAAGATGCCCAGATTGTTCCTTAGCTCTTAAGATAATTGGCAGGGTTGGTGGAGTGGCTCAAGTGGTAGAGCACCTGTCTAGCAAGCGTGAGGCCCTGAGTTCAAACCCCAGTACTGCTAACAAAAAAAAAAAAAAAAAAAGAAAAAGAAAAAGATAGTTGGCTCATTGTCCTCAATCTTGTTCCCGACCTACTCTCATGCTTTTATAATTAATTCCCAGACTGTCTTTCCCTAAGAGAGACTGTGGGAATGAATGATATAGGAAGAAGTGTGTCTCTGAGGGGTAAGAAAAAGGGTTGACATATAATGTGTTTTTTCTGTGCAGACTTGTTCAGACCCCAAATCCAAACCACCTTTCTTACTGGAAAAGTCCATGGAATCGTGTCTCAAGTACATCAATAAGAAATTTCCCAACATAGATGTCCGAAACAGTACGGTGAGAACTTCTTCCCAACTTTCTCTTTTCTCTGACATAACTCTGTGCTTGGATGGCTCAGATTTTCTTCTTTTGACTGCTTTTCTTTAAACTTGGCAGGGGATGGAGAACCCTCTTCTTAGTTTTTATTGGCTCAACCACAGGGCTTCAGGTCTTGGTAATTTTGGGATAAGATAGGAGTCTTCCAGGGTAAGCTGAAGCATAGTACCTACCCTTCTCCCTTGCCAGATTCATGAGGACGCTTTGTTCTTGTAGAGGAAGACGGCTCTATTACCACAGTAGGGTGCATATATTTTACTGTTGTTCCTGTTTCCCAGTGTTTCCTTGCTACTTGTCTTACAATTATGTGTGTAGTGGGATATTCCTTACTTCTCCCTAATTAAATATTAGTCTTAGATTTCCCACCCACAGCATCTTATTCTGCTTATTGTGACTTTGATTTAAATACTAAACCTCTTCTGCTGAAAGAGGCCTTGAAATTTCCTTTCATTTAGCCCTCTGAATCCCATGCAGCCATTATCTAGGTACAGAATCTCTCTATTTAAAGATTTGGGGACTGTTGGAGAGTTCCCAACTAGTCTGTCAGAGTATTTCAACTCTCTAAGAATGTTTAGGTGTTACCCCTGTTCTTGAGTTACTTTGATTAATTGCCTTTTTCTTTTACACTTTTTGTTTTTTGTTTCTCTCAGCAACATTTAGGACCAGTTCATCGTGAAAAAACTGAGATAATTAGATTCCTCATCAACTATTACCAGTCATTTGTGGATGTCATGGAATTTCGGGTGAGCTCTATCTGACCCAAGTCTCCAATGCAGTCATGGTCTTTCAGAGGCTATTCCTTCTTTAGTAGATAATCATTTAGGTGGCTTAATACATATTCTTGAAAAAAATAAGAGATGTATTGATATGGAAAGATGTCTAAGTTATATTGCTAAAGAAAATGAATTGTATGCTTTTCTTTTGAAAGCTAGCTATATAGAGTGATAGTGTATACAAAGGAAAGATTTAGAATATTACATTAAACTATCTTTGGATTCTGATTGGCTTCAATTTCCTAAGCCATATATTTTTATTTTTTATTGTGGTAATACACATAACATAAAATTTATCATCTTAACCATTTTATGTATACAGTTTAGTGGTATTAAATCATGATATTTTCAACCATCTTTAAATGTTATAAAACTGAAACTGTACATACTTTAAACAACAATTCCTTATTTCCCCTACCTCCCAGCCCCTGGTGACTACCACTCTACTTTCTGTTTCTATGTTTGTTACTACTCTAAGTACTTTATCTAAGTAAACTTTTTATCATTTTGTGACTCACTTGTTTCACTTAGAAGAATGTCCTCACAGTTCATATATGTTGTAGCATATTGAAAAATTTCCTTCCCTTTTAAGACTGAATAATATTCTATTTGGCTATATTGTTTTTTGTCTATCCATTCATCATTAATGGACACTGGGTAGCTTCTATGTTTTAGTTGTTGTGAATAGCTGCTATGAAATGGGTTCAGCTATCTCGTTTAGACTTTCCTTTGCATTTTTTTGGTTATGTACCCAGAAATGGAATTGCTAGATTATGTGATAATTCTATTTTTAACTTTTTGAGGAAGTGTCATCCTGTTTTCTGCACTGACTGTACCATTTTATATTCCACCAGTAGTGCATAAGGGTTAGATTTTGTCTACATTCCCATGCTCACTCAGCAGCACATATACTAATTTCTCCACAAGCTGGCCAACAATTCAACAAGTGTTATTTTCTGTCTTTTTTTTTTTTTTTTTTTTTGATAGTAGTATCCATCTGCTAGGTAGGTGCTCTACCTCTAGCTCTTTTTGGGTTGGGTATTTTCAAGATAGGGGTGCATGATCCTGGGGCAGGGTCATTGAACAGCGATCCTCCTGATCTCTGCCTCCTTTGTAGCTAGGATTACAGGTGTGAGCCACCAGCACTCAGCTAAAGGTCTAGGTTTTTTCATTTCTTTCTTTCTTTTCTTTCTTTTTTTTTTTTTTGGTGGTACTGGGGCTTGAACTCAGGACCCCATGCTTGCTAAGCAGGCACTCTACCTCTAGAGCCATTCCACCAGCCCTCTTTGCTCATTTTAAATCAGTTTTTTTGTTGTTGAGTTTTAGGAGTTTTCTATATAAGCTATATACATTTTTTCATTAGTTGAATTTTAAAATTTTAAACTATTTTCCCTCAATGTTTTGTATAGTGCAGGCTGGTCATTTCTAATTTAAAAATCTTAAATCTGAAATGCTCCAAAATCTGAAACTTTTTGAGCAATAGAATGACTGCCACACATGGAAAATTCCACATTTAACCTCACATGACTCTTAACAGTTAAAATCTATGTTTTTCACTAAAAATATTGCACAAGTTTCCTTTAGGCTATGTGTACAAGGTATATATGAAACATAAATGAATTTTGTGGGTGAATGTGATCAAAGTACATTGTATGAACAAATGGAACCATCACAATGAAACACTTTTGTACAGTTAATTTACACTAATAAAAAAGTTCTTAAAAAGTGAAAAAAAAAAAAAGAATTTTGTGTTTTGATTCAGATCCCATTCCCAGCTCGAATATTCCCCAACTCAAAAATATCTGAAATGTGGAATACTTTTGGTCCCAAGCATTTGGATAAGGGGTATTCAATCTGTACCCCTTTTCCTGGATTTCCTAATTGTTGGTATTTTGCCATGTTTGCTTGCTTGCTTGTCATTCTCTACTTTTCTCCCTTGAACCATTTGACTTAGTTACAGACATCATGGTATTTCCTTCCCAAAATATTTTTGCATACATCTTTTTTTTTTTTGCTAAGGACAAGAATATTTTCTTACATAATTCTAATACAATTATTGTAGTGAGGAAATATAATATTGCTACAATATTATTGGCTAATACATAGCCATATTTACATTTCTCCAGCTGTTGCAAGGCTCACTCATTGGATTTAGTTATGTCTCTTTAGTCTTTAATGTAGAATAATTTCCAGCCTTTTTCTTTCTCTCTCATTTCAAGCTTTTTGAATAATCCAGGCTTGTTAGTTCTCAGAATATCCCTCAATTTGGATTTGTCTTATTTTAAGTTTTTGGTAGCAATACTACAAGGCAATATTTTATTTGAATTTTAAAGAATAAGCATGCACTATTTTTATAAACATAAAAAACCCATTAAAATTATTTATTTAGTACATTATAAATCAACAACATGTTTCAAAAGTCTGAAAAATTAATGAAGTAATTATACTTCTAGAAATTTGTCTTGAGACAAATTGTTTTCTTTTTTTTTTCTTTTATTATTCACATGTGCATACAAGGCTTGGGTCATTTCTCCCCCCTACTCCCACCCCCTCCCTTACCACCCACTCTGCCCCCTCCCTCTCCCCCCCACCCCCTCAATACCCAGCAGAAACTATTTTGCCCTTATTTCTAATTTTGTTGTAGAGAGAGTATAAGCAATAATAGGAAGGAACAAGGGGTTTTGCTGGTTGAGATAAGGATAGCTATACAGGGCATTGACTCACATTGATTTCCTGTGCGTGTGTGTTACCTTCTAGGTTAATTCTTTTTGATCTAACCTTTTCTCTAGTTCCTGGTCCACTTTTCCTATTGGCCTCAGTTGCATTTAAGGTATCTGCTTTAGTTTCTCTGCGTTAAGGGCAACAAATGCTAGCTAATTTTTTAGGTGTCTTACCTATCCTCACCCCTCCCTTGTGTGCTCTCGCTTTTATCATGTGCTCAAAGTCCAATCCCATTGTTGTGTTTGCCCTTGATCTAATGTCCACATATGAGGGAGAACATACGATTTTTGGTCTTTTGGGCCAGGCTAACCTCACTCAGAATGATGCTCTCCAATTCTATCCATTTACCGGCGAATGATAACATTTCGTTCTTCTTCATGGCTGCATAAAATTCCATTGTGTATAGACACCACATTTTCTTAATCCATTTGTCAGTGGTGGGGCATCTTGGCTGTTTCCATAACTTGGCTATTGTGAATAGTGCTGCAATAAACATGGGTGTGCAGGTGCCTCTGGAGTAACCTGTGTCACAGTCTTTTGGACAAATTATTTTCTTAAGAAGACAATCAGAGAGAAGTACAAAGATATATGTACAAGAATGTACTTTGAAGCTGGGTGCCGGTGGTTCATGCCTGTAATACTAGCTAGAGATCAGGAGGATCAAGGTTCGAAGCCAGCCAGGGCAAATAGTTTGAGAGACACTATCTTGAAAAAAAAAAAAAAAACCATCACAAAACGGGCTGGTGGAGTGTCTTAAGGTAAAGGCCCTGAGTTCAAGCTCCAGTACCACAAAAAAAAAATTCTTTTTTGCCTTTTTATGATAGTAACAACTTGATAATTTATCGCAAATTAGAGGTTTGGTTAAAAGTTCAGGGTTTATGCCTATAAACAAGTATGCAGTTGTTAAAGCTGATAATATATTTATAGGAATTGATACATAAGAATGCTCTTCACAGGGCTGGAGGTGTGGCTCAAGTGGTAGAGTGCCTACCTAGTAATCACAAAGCCCTGAGTTCAAACCCCAGTTCTGCCAAAAAAAAAAAAAAGTTCTTCACCTATTGTTTAATATAAGAGCAATTTAAAAACAGTTTTAGATGTAAGATGTCTCTAAAATGTGTATTGACAGAGAAATATGCATTTATAGAAGTCTGGAATTTCTGATTGGTGGGATTATGAGTGATTTAAAAAACTTAATTAGAATTAAGCTTGTCTGCATTTTCTACCACATGCATTATTTACATATTGAAGAAGCAATGCACTTTTTAGCCCTTTGAGAAACCCAAGTTTGTGGTGGTGTAATATTTCTTCAGATGGTGCAAGAGTGTGGGTCCTCCCTTGGGAGCCCTGTGTATACTTCAGGGAGCTAATCTAGAACATTCAATAGATAACATCATTAGATGATGAAGACAGAAGTTGGAACATGGAGGACCATAAGGCCCAAAGTAGGGTCATGCCAGAGCGTATTGGTCTTGGAATTGAGAGTAGTGGTTACGAAGAGTGTAGGCACTGGTGGAGGCAGTAGAAAGCATCCTGGAAGTTTGAAAAACAATCTTTGGAATCCAAAGGAGATTTTAGGACACCTCCTGGTTGCTATGGTGGTAAAGTTCTGAGCCAAAGAGTTTGGTATGGCTTGTTTAGATAGGAAGGGAAGTAGAGACACTGAATTATGGTCTATTGTAAAGTAGGTAGACATTGATTATGACAGAGCAGGGTTCAAATCTCAGCATTACCACTTCCAAACAGAATGACTTTAGAAAGGCCAGTCTTGAATCTGTTTTCTTATCTATAAAAGAAGGAAATAAAATTTACGGTTTGTGGTGTTTGTGAGAATGAAACTAGAGGCTGTGTAAAAAATGTCTAGCTCAGAGTTTAGCATATAGTAAAGTAATAGGTCAGCATGAATTCCCATCTGGTTTTCTTGTCTTTAGAATGTAAGACCTATATAATGACACTGGTTGTGTGAATGGCTGAAAGAGAACTTCAGCTATATTCTGTAGTTGCTGGGTTGCAGGCTAGAATTGTAGGAAGGCATTCCTAAAAAATGAGGCAGTATAGGCTGGTGGAAGGGTTCAGTAATAAGAGTGTCTGCCTAGCAAGGGTGTAGGCCCTTTGTTCAAACCCCAGTGCTACCAAAACAACAAATGAGGCAGCATAGATTTAGAGGTATGGAGGTCACACAGCTATAGGGAAGACCATAGGATCTGGTTTCAAATTCTGTACTAGCTGTGATTTTGGGCAAGTTTATCAACACTCTTAGCCTTGGTTTCCCCATCCATTTATTTAGACATAGACTTTTGGGATGATAAGTTGGAAACTTTTTTTTAAATCTAACATCTTAATAAACTTTGACAAATGTGTCCACCTGTGTATCACCACTACAATCAAAGGATAGAAAATGTCTCTTGCCCCAAAGTTTCCTTGGGCTTTTTGTCCCCTAGTCAATCCTTACCTTTCACTCCTAGCCCTGGGTAATCACTAATCTGCTTTCTAGAACAGATTTTTTTTCCCTAGAAGTTCAAATAAATGGAATCTAATCAATGTGTATTCTTTTGTGTTTTATTTCTTTCATGCAGCATAAGGCTTTTGATATTTTTATTTATGTTGTTGCAGGTATCAGGCACTTCATCACTTATTTTTGCTGAGAACAACTCCATTGTATGGATATATAATTTGTGTATTCATTTACCTGTTGATAGACATTTGGGTTGTTTCAAGTGTTTAGGCATTATGCATAAATTGCTAAAAATATTCAAGTATAAACTTTGTAGGGAGATTTTTTTATTTCACTTGGGTAAATGATTTAGAAGTTGATTTGCTGAATTTTATGGTAAGAAGTATGTTTAATTTTTAAAATTTTTCCATTTTTCTCATTTTTAATTGATAATAATTATACATATTGCTGGGGTTTAATGTGCTAATTCCATATATGTATACAATATGTAGTGATCAAATTAGAATAATTAGCATTTCTATCTCCTTAAACATTTATTATTTGTTTGTATTTGAATTTTTCTCTTCTACTTCTTTGCAAATTTTTTTTCAATGTTGACAATTAAACTCCTCAAGGTCCTTATGCCCTTGAGGAAAGTTCTCTACTATCCCCAAGCCCTCTAGTACTTTTTTTCTGGTAGAAATATTTAATTAATTTTCGGTGGCAGTGGGGTTGAACTGAGGGCTTCATGCTTGTTAGGCAAGTGTTCTACCATTTAATCCACTTCTCCAGCCCCTTGTAGTTCTTTATAGAAGAATATGCTTAATTTTATAAGAAACTGCCAAATGCTTTTCAAACTTGTTCATTTTCCTTGTGAAGGAATAGCACCCAGGGATGATGAGATCAGGGAGAGTGTGCACAGTATAGTAGTGACTTGTGCCTGTAGACATGGCCATTTGGCAGAGTAGCATGGCAGAGACCACTGATGGCTTATGGGGAAGGAACTTCTTCCTTTTCTTTTTTTTTTTTTTTTTTTGTGGTATTGGTGTTTGAACTCAGGGACTGATGCTTGCTAGACAGTGCTCTGCCACTTGAGCCATACACCCAGCCATTTTTCCCTCTTTTGAACAATGCCTCCCTTTCTTACTTGGAGGTTCTAATACCTGTAAGGAAGTGGTCCTTTCCCCTCAAACTTTGGTAGTACAGCACTTAGAAGGCTGAGGCAGAAGGATCAGGAGTTTGAGGCCAGCTTGGGCTATGTAACGAGACCCTGTTGCAAAAAAATTTCATTTTTGGGAGTACGTGTCATCTTCTTTGTGTTCTTTATTCATTCTCATCTTCAATTCCACCCCCAGGATCATGTATATGAACTTCTCAACACCATTGATGCCTGCCAGTGCCATTTCGATATTGTAAGATTCTTTGCAATTTTCTTTTATCATAGAATAGAATTAAAGAAAATGCCAGGTCCAAATCGGGGCAATGTAGGGTGGGATGGGACTGAAAGAATGGCTATTTTATTTGTTATTTCTCAAGACCATTATTCTTTCATAAAAAGTGTTGAAGTTAAAATGTACTTAAGTGTTAAGCAGATCAGCAATGTGACTTAGTTAATAGAAAAATTACACAAAAATCTTTTCACTTTACTTCCTCCAACCCCCAAATGCTACTTATTTCATGGTCTCCTTGTATCTTGAGCCCCCAACTTTTGTTTAAATTCTCTTCTTAATTTTCTATCCTGTCAGTTCCTGTTACTAATAGACTTACCCAGAGTCTATTTATTTAGCACTGTTGGCAATGGTTGGGAAAATCGGAGGTCCAGATTAATTGACTATGCTGTCCTTGGGTTCCTATGCATTTTTCTTGCAGAATCTCAACTTTGACTTCACTCGGAGTTACCTGGACTTGATTGTGACTTACACCTCAGTCATTTTACTTCTGTCACGGATCGAGGACCGACGGATACTTATTGGCATGTACAACTGTGCCCATGAGATGCTGCATGGTCATAGGTGAGTTAGGGGAGGTGAAGAGCTTCATATATGGCATTATGATGTAGGGAGTAGATGCAAAGAAAATAGATGCCATGATTTCTCATATGAACCTATAATCTATATGATAATCCAGGAAAAGTAAGGTATACTTTTACATATAGTTAACTCTTGAATAACTGCTAGCAGATTATTCAGTTTTCATGATCTCTGATCTATTTTTAATCCTGGACTGGCCTCAATTCTGCCTTTCAGGTTATTACAAAAGGCAAAGACAATTCTTCTTAGTATTGGTAGAATTAATACCAGTAGGGTTAAGCCATTAGAGGTAAGTAATGTGTGATAATACATTTGAGGCCAAATATAAATGAATTTTGGATTATCTATAATTTTGTCCTCCCTTATTAGTGCAAATATAAGTATTTAAGGGCTTAAAAAATGAAGATCAGAAGGATCAGAGTGAGACATGGCACACTGTTCTGTGTGATATGCATTCTCCTGTGTCTCTATGGGTGCCTGGGCTATGTCTTATCTATTAGCTTTAAATATTAATATGTCCATCTGATTGTATAGAGATTTGGGTCCAGGCCTACTACTTGATTTCCAAATAGTGGACACAAATTTATAGAGTACCTGTCATGGACCCAATTCTATTTTGGGTGCTTAACAGGAAGAAACTTGAATGACCTGCCTAAAATTGAATGGTTCTATCTAACTATAGCTTATTCCCCCTGGGCCTGCAGTGGGGCATCTGTACATGTAACATACAGACAGACACAGTTTAGTATGTCTGTCTGTGGAGGTGATGGGGAATGCCAATCTACGTTCATGTCTTTGTCCTATATGCAAACATAGGCATTTATGTCACAGTTAAGGTCTGTAACTCCTCTCTACTCTGCTTTCTTCCAGTGATCCCAGTTTTGCTCGTCTGGGCCAGATGGTCTTAGAGTATGACCACCCTCTGAAGAAGCTGACAGAAGAGTTTGGGCCTCATACAAAGGCAATTTTCCCAAGAGAATGGAGAATCTCTCAGGTCGAAGTATTTGTTCCTATCTTTGACATTAAGGATTTGTTATTTCCTACAGGCGGTGAGTGGAGCCCTCCTGTCTTTGCACTTCCTCTTTGTCCGAAGGAACCAGGGGGCAGAGCAGTGGCGCAGCGCTCAGCTTCTAAGTCTCATCAGCTCCCCCCCAGCCATGATTAACCCTGCTAATTCAGACACAGTGAGTTCCCTTTTTCTTCTGTCAGGAGAGGTGCTCTCTGCCAAGGCCATCTGGGTTGAAGGCGTTTCTTTCAGGAAATATTAGCCCTAAGAATGCGTTAACTCTCTGCTAGAATAAACCTCTACATTGATCACTTTTTTGTTTTTATATTTATTTATTTAGGCCGTACTTGTAATTGAACTCAGGGCCTTGAGCATGCTAGGCAAGCCATGCCCTACTCCAGTTCACCAGTTCTTATAGGTGAAAAGTCATGGTTGGGTTGGAGATTTGTTTGGACCAGGATTAATTTGTGCCTACTCATAGGAGGAATTTAATAACTAATCACAGAAAATTAATGGATGAAAATGAGTCAGCCAGGCCTGGTGGTACAAGCCTGTAATCCTAACACTTGGGAGGCAGAGGCAGGAGGATAACCAGTTTGAGACTGGCCTGGGCTACATAGGGAAACCCTGTCTCAAAAGCTAATGAACAAAGCAATTTCAAAAACCAAAATCAAAACAAACAAAAAAGAAACTGAGTCATTAGACTCCACTAGGAATTTGAGCTTAGGAGTCAGTTAATTGATAAGTGTTTTTATTCAACACTTCCCTCAAGAAAAACTTACAGCCTACTGCCACCTTGTCATAAAAATTCAACTGATGGTACAAGATTAGTAATAACTGCCAAATAAGTGATTTCTACTTTAAGTGTAGTAAAAGGATCCAAAGGAGGAAGAAATCACACAAGAAGTTTTTTTTTTTTGTGTGTGTGAATGTGTCTTTTTTTTTTTTAAACTATTATTGTGCTGTGGGTACATTGTGGCATTTACAAAGTTCTTATGTCATAGTTAAATTCACCCCCTCCATCATTCTCCTTCATCTTCCCTCTTCCCATTCCTGGAGAAGTTTCATCAGGTCTCATTTTTCCATTTACATACATGTGTACACAATATTGGCATCATATTCACCCTCCTACATACTTTCTCCACATCTTCCCCCTCTCCCACTGATACCCATCCCCCCAGGGAATGTTCTGGACCTGTTCTGCACTCCTGTTTCTGTTTTTGTAAAAAAAAGAAAAAAGGTTTTGTTATTCTGTTGTTAAAAGTATCTGAGCTATTGAAGATAAAGAGAAATTATGTTAACATTTTGTTTGTCCTGATTTATAGCCCAAGCTTGGGTTCTTTTTCTCAACTATGTCCAATTCCAGGACCTCCCTTCCTTATTGGCAGGTTTCCCAGCTATCTGCTTACTGAAGTGCCCTAATCCAGTCTGGTAAAATAAAAGTTCTTTTCTTTTCTTCTTTTTTTGAACCCAAAGCCTTATAAATGCCAGGCATGCAGGCATGCACTCTACCCCAGAGCTATAACTCCAGCCCAAAAATGTTTTCTTTTTCCATTGCTGGGGATTGAACTCTATGCTTGCTAGCAGAAGCTCTACCACTTGAGCCACTCTGCCAGCCCCCAAAAGTTGGTTTTACTCAGATTCTAGGTTAACTTTTTCACTCACGGAAACACTAAGTTAATAACTACTTGACTATCTCTTCCTCTCTTCTTGTAGATGGCCTGTGAGTATCTGTCTGTGGAAGTGATGGAGCGATGGATTATAAGTAAGTTTTGTGGGATTAGGTGGGGAAGGGTATAGAGCATCTTCCATGGAGAGTACATTTTGAATGCTTTTCCCTGTACTCTCTACCTCCTGCAGTTGGGTTTCTTCTTTGTCACGGGTGCCTCAACTCCAATAGCCAGTGCCAGAAGCTGTGGAAGCTGTGTCTGCAGGGCTCCCTATACATCACTCTCATCCGAGAGGATGTGCTACAGGTGCACAAAGTCACCGAGGACCTGTTTAGTAGTTTGAAAGGGTGAGAGACGTGAGAACCAAATTGATCTTCTGGGACATTTAGCCTTTCCTAACGTTCTTCTTTGTTTTCTGTAAGTTTCCTGGAGTATGGGTGGTAAAGGGTTAATTCTAACTATTAAATATTTATCAAATACCTATTATTTGCTAAGTGCTTCACTGGATTTTAGGAATGTAGTGATTAATTAGATAGCATAGAGGTTAAGAGCATAAACTCTGAACTCAGACTTCCTGGGTTTGAATTCAAGTTCTACCACTTACTAGCCATGTGCCCTTGGGCAAGAACCTGGTGCATCATGAATACTATGTGCTTATTAAAAAAAACCCCAAAACCAAAAAGAGTCTCAAGTGGCATACACCTGAAATCCCAGAGCTTGGGCAGGATGAGTCAGGAGAATTACAAGTTCAAAGCCAGCCTGGGCTACATAGTAAGATGCTGTCTCAAAAAAATAAAAAGTTTAAAAAGGAGAGTCTCTACCTTGAGAAGTTTGCAAATTGGTGGAAAATAGACAAACTGTTGTGATAGAGTAAAGGGTCGTGGTTTGTAAAGTCTAAGTGCTGTGGGAGCATTCATAAGAACACTTAAAAAGGTGAAAGATTTACGTGATGTGCAGAGAAGCCAGAGTATTAACAGGACCCTTAAACTAGCCTTGCAAGATACAGAAAAACCTGGAGATAGGTAGAAAAAAAAATAGCTCCATAAAAGAAAAAAAGTTGAACAACTGAAGTGTGTGTGTGTGTGGGTGTGGGTGTGGGTGTGGGTGTTGAGTGGAAAGGCAGGGTTGATGCTAAAGGCAGAGAATGACATTCTAGGCAGAGAAACTAGTAAGATTTTGAGGCAGAGAGAGCATGGTCAGTGTTCAGTGCCTGTAATTCAGAGCATGGAGAGCATGGGTTGCAAAGGTGAGGATATGAAGAGATGGGTTTGGAGAGTTAAATTGCGACCTCATAGGCTCTGCCACGGAGTTTGAATCTGTCTCTGAGAGGCCAGGGAGCTACTAAATGACGTCAAACCGGGCAGTTGAGATAATCATATTTGCATTTTAGAAACGATCACTCTGCTGCAGGGGAAAAAGATATTAGATGGGCAAAGCTAGAGGCAGGGGTTAATTAGGTAAATTAGAAGGACGATGTCAAGGTTTCTGGCGTTCCTTAAGATAGAGAACATGTGAACCAAAGCAAGTTTGTATGGAAAGGCTGTGAATTCAGTTTTGATGTGTCTGTAGGACACTGAGGATAGATGTGTTATGTCTTTTGCTGTGTAGTATGAGAACTGAGGAGTAAGTCTGAATTCAGGTGAAGATTGGTGGAACGGTACTGAAAGCCTTGACAGTAGCTGAGGTTGCTCAAGGCAAACATTTGCAGGGAAAAGAGGAGTGATCAAACCTCTGGGTACGTTGATTTTTAAGGGCCAGGTGTAAGCCAGAAGCCAGTGAGGGACATTGGAAAGAAGAGAGAAAACAGAATTCAAGAAAAGCATTGCAAGAGGGAAGCTAAGAAATCAAATAAAGTGAGGATTGAGAAATGTTCATATGATTTTGCTATAAAGGTCATCTGAGTGCCTTTTTATGAATGCCAGTTGAATGGTGAGGTTTGAAAACTGGGTTGCAATGGGTTTAGAATGAGAGAAGGAATTTAACAACTGTTTTAAATAGTTGACTGTGAAGGAGAGTAGGGAGCTATAAGAGAAGATGTGTGGGATTAGGGAAGGGATCAAATTACCTGTATTTATTCTTGTGGCAAGTAGAATGTCCAGAAATGTGAAAAATACAAAGTGGAAGTTGGCTACAATCTCACCTTCTAAGTTTGGTGTGCATTTTCAGATGCATGTGCATGCATGTGAGAGTGTGTGCGTGTGCATATGTGTACATATACACACAGATGTACATGTAGTTTCAACCTTTCATAAGTGATTTTGTTTTGGTGGTACTAGGGTTTGAACTCAGGGTTTCGTGCTTGCAAACCAGGCACTTTATTGCTTGAGCCGACTTCCTGTCCATTTGCTCCTGGTTATTTTGGAGGTGTGGTCTCTTGAAACTATTTGCTGGGGCTGGGCTTTTGACTGCATTCCCTTTCCCCATATCAGCCCCCCAAGTAGCTAGGGGTTTCAGGCATGAGCCACCAGCAGTTCAGGCTAAAGCTTATTTTTTAATAGTGAAGATATTCCTTATGTGGTTATAATATAATTAGTTTGTTCAATCCCTATTGGAGGACATTTGAACATGTTTCTGTTTTAAAAAGTCATATAACCAA